CGTATTGCCTGAAACTATCGTTATGCTTCTTTTCCATGCTTTGTAGCATAACTCGATCTGGTCTTATGTCATTGACATGCTTGTATTGTTCCAGAAATGACTTGGCTAGGTCCTTCCAGGTCTTGATATTTGATCGGCTTAACTGGTTATACCACCGAATGGTTGAGCCCGACAGACTCTCCTAGAAGCAGTGGATCAGGAGTTGGTCGTTTCCTCCATATCCTGTCATCTTTCGGTAGAACATGGTGATGTGAGCGGATGGACAACTGTTCCTATCAAACTTTTCGAATTCCGGGGACTTAAATTTCGGAGGAAGAACCAAGTCCGGGACTAGACTGAGTTCCGCGGCATCGATTTCATGGTAGTCATGGTCTCCTTTGACTACCTTCATTTGGTCCTCCAATTGTTTGATTTTTTTTCCATCTTCTTTGCTTTGTCCTCTTCGTCCAAATCCGGTACATGGTAATAACCCGGATTGTTCTTAGGGTTAAATATAGAGGACGAGGGCTTCGCTTTTGCAACAGATGAGTCCCCTCGAAGTTCTGGTAAGATTTCAGGTGAGATAACCACTTGTGGGGTAGGTTGTATAGTTACCCCTTCCGGTGAACCTACCCCAGGCGTACTGGTCTGTTGTAGGCTAACTAACTTGGTAACGATCTGATCAACCAATGACTCTTGGTTTTTTGTGATTGTTTCCAGAGTATTTCGACTGCTCTGGTTTATCTTGTCTTCTAGCTCTTTTTGTAGTTTCAACATATTATCCTCGATTTGTATAATTATGGCTTCCATCCTCTTCTTCTTCAAACGGGTATTATGTGGATGGGGTGTGTCCAACGCTTGAGGCAGTGTATCCAGTATTTGCTCCCTTTTGATGAGACATGTATATGTTAGTTAATGTGAATTCAAAGAAAATAACAAAATGCAAAATTTCTAAATGCATGATGCATGAAATGTCCGAGGCATTGATCCAAAAAATGTGCCTGTTATTCTGAATAACCCTTATTGGTGACAAAAGTGTTACGTCTGAAGAGACAGAAAACTTTTTGATGGTATAGATCCCGCACAGCTTCTGACAAGTTGATTCTTCTTCCGCCTTTTTCCCTAGTTGAATATCCTGTCGAATCATTCTGGTTCCTTTGGCTAAACTTGTGCAGGTGACGAGCTGCTTGCCCCAAAAAAGGTCTCGAAGGAATGCATCTCCGGCTTTCACTCTATGTCGAGCTTGTTCCAAACGAAAGTGCCATCGGAGCCCTCCATTCGAAGTTTAGCGACTTATTTCTAGAATTTATCAATAATGGTCTCCAGCTTAGCTAGGGTTTCGCCATTTTGCAGTTTTCGAAAGGACTCTTTGGGTCAGTAACATTTTCCTCGTCTTGCCCCTGCAACCTTTGCCTCTGAGTATTTTTTGACTACGGTTGGGCTTCTGAGCTTTTTATCTCTTTGTATTATAACCCCTTTGTCCATTAATGCAGATTATTCATGTTTAACAAACACATTTTTGGTGGATCAACACATCATTTTAAATGATGCAAACGATGAACACAAAATAAAAGAGAACAAAAAAATAAAAGGGTTAGTGAGGTAAATCAAAACAATAAAAAAATGAAAAATCCTACCCTACATGATAATTTACCCCACATGCTTTAATTCCTACCCGGATATGATATCTATCCCGCATGCTAATTTCAAACAAATCTTAACAGAATATTTGTCTAGTTCGCATGCTTTGAACAGAAAGTAAAGCAGGAAATAAAATCAAAGCAGCCTAGGGTCTGGAATGAGGTTTTGGGGTGGGCTCTAATTCCCTGTTCTCTCTCGGTTTAGGTTCTAAAAAAAGGTACTCGAGTTCTCCTTGCCGGTGCCCCCTTGGGCTTGTCAGACCCTTAGTCCTAAACCTATTACAGGCTTGTGTAGACTAAGTTAAACTCGAGAAGACACATTCCCTTATGCCCATACGGAGAATAAATTTACACGAAGGCATAAGGTATATGAATCCCAAAGGTTACTTGCTAGGCCCGCACGGTGAATAAATTCACACGAAGGCCTCGCTTTCACCCCCACTTAAAACGGGTTTGGAGCTCGGGTTTAGAGCCTTAAGTAAAAAAAAACTTTGAAGGATGAAATCATGAGAAAGCGATTAGTAACACTATCTACTCGAAAATATAATCAAGAGTAAGTAAAGAGGATCGAAATATTACCTAAAAATTTAAACTTACCCTTTTCGCTAAAAAGATAAATGGAAATTACCTTAGCTTGACTCACTTACCTGTGTCCCCAGCAGAGTCACCAAGCTGTCGGAACCGTCTTTCGGTTGGGCCCCGGAATTGGGCTTCGACTTGAATTAATTGGGTTAGAGTCGCCACCGACCATTTGAAAACGAATCTAGATGGGTCGGACACCATCTTCCCTTATCTGTGTCTTTACCAGTGATATGTCGGATTCGGGAGTCGGTTACAGTCAAGGAAGGGTTAGCACCCTTGAACTGTCCTTTCGGTACTATGTAATTTCCAGTTGTCTTAATTAAGAAAGTTGTACGTTAAATTAAAAAGTAAAATAACGATCTGAATTGCTTACCTTTGATTGATTGGAAATTTCTCTACAAAGTTAACATGTTAGAGGAAATTAAAAAAAATGAAGATGTTAGGCAAAAATAATAATAAAAATAAAAATAATAAACCAATACTTAAAAAAATGATAAAATAATAAATAAAAAAAGAATAATAAAAAGGTAAAGAAATCACAGATTGTAAGTTTCTAAACAATAAAATAATAATAATAATATGAGAAGAGGAATAATAATAATAATGATAAAATAAAATAAAATTGGAGGACCAAATTGAAATAGATTAGAATTAATGGATTCTATTGGTATTTAAAAAAATGAACTGCAAAAGAAAAAAGAAAATTAGGGGATCAATTCGCGAAAATGTAAAAATAAAAACCGGGATTAAATCGATTAAACTGAAAATTCGGGGGTCAAATTACACATGGGGGTCGAATTGTAAAGCGACTCAAAGTTATAGGGATTACAGAGAGGATTCAAAAATCCTCTATTTACAATCCGGTCCCTCGTATATAAATGGGCTAAAACACTCTATCACCTTCATTTCTCACATTCCCGCGAAAATCCTTCTCTCCTCTAATGAGAGAAGTTCTCAAATTGTCTCAGCCAACGGCGGCCGACAAAATATAAACCACCCACAAGGCTCTCCTTAACCCCGTTGTCCCAGATCTGAGCCCCAAACCTCACAAAAAGACCCCAAGCAACGTAAATCTACGCCCGAAGATCCGACTTTTTACCTTCATCGATGGTGACTCCTCGGTTCTCTGGTTTTCGACGGGGTCTTTTGACTTTGCTTTTTTTTATATTTTGCTTGGATTTTTGGGGGGCTTCGGCCTTTGGTATTTTCTGTGGTTTCGGTTTTGTGATGTTGCCTTTGGTTCTTGGTTTACTCATGGGTTCTGTTGTGGGTTCTCTCTTGTGCGTTTGGTTTTTCGATCTGGTTGTGTACTGTTGATATCTTGGTTTACTATGTTTTGTGGATGCTGTTCTCTGGTGGTGCTTTGTGCACTGTTGATGATTCCCCCTTGGTTTCATTCTATCTGGGGGTATTTATACCCTATCGGCTGGTGAATGTTGTCGAACATCACGGGATGGGTTAGTCCCGTTTGGTGTTCGTGGCGCGATTCTCGGTATGTATGATACCCATTTTTCGGGCTGTTGTTGTGAGGATTCCAGCTTCGGGTACCGGGGATCTCGGTCGGTGGACGATTTGCAATCTCGTCTTGCATTCCAGAACGTTCTGGGACATTTCTGACTGTTGGATTGGGTCAGATCCAACGGTCTGGATCTGGCTGCACATTTGATGAGATATTTGGGGCTTCAGAACCCTAGTTATCACGCGAATTGAGCCGTTGATCACTGCTTGATCTAACGGCCGTAAGTTGTGCGGCGTTGGGTCTAAGTTGAGAAACCCTAGACGCTGCTGGGCTGGTTCAGGCCCAACTCTTGGACTATTCGAACCTCATTTTGGACCCTAAACAGAAAAAATAAATAAATAAGAAATAATAAATAAATAAATAAAATAATAAAAATAAAAATAAAAATAAAAACAATTTCGAAAATATATAATATATTAATTTCTAAAATGTTATTTTAAAAACTATATATTATATGCATTTTCCAAAAAGATTTTTCAAAAAACTATATAATATTATATATATTTCCAAAATGTTTTAAAAACTATATAATATATATTTTCAAAAATGTTTTAAAAACTATATATAATATTTATTTTCAAAATGTTTCAAAAATTATATAATATATATATTTTCAAAAAATGTTTTAAAAACTATATATTATATTAGTTTTCAAGGTGTTTTAAAATCTATATAATATATATATTTTCAAAAAATGTTTTAAAAATATATATTATATTATTTTTCAAAATGTTTTAAAAACTATATAATATATATTTTTCAAAAAATGTTTTAAAAACTATATATTATATTAGTTTTCAAAATGTTTTAAAGACTATATAATATATAAATATTTTTAAACATGCTTGTCAAAACTATATTATATATATATATATATTTTAAAAATGTTTTCAAACTATATAATGTGTATATATATATATATAATAAAAAATGGGACGAAAATGAGTGTCTACACCCCATTACCCTCTTTCTTGCTGTTTTGTTTTTACAGATAGACAGCATGTTGGGACTCAAAGTGGAGGAAAATTCAAGTAGGAAGATTACTTCGGAGAAACCGTCGTTGTCATCCACGGCGGTTGACAACGGTTCCTCTTGGAAAACTTTCCATTATTCTAAGCTTCCCGAAGAAACCTTCGGCCTCTCCATTCGCAAATTGGATGGCTCTTCCTTTGGTGCTTTTACTACTTCCTTCCTTGTTCATCCCAAATCATATTGGCTTCCATTAACATCTCTTTTTTCTTTTTTGCCGGCTGATGTCGAGGTTTTGAAGTCGGCTAATGTTGCAGATCTCAAGCTAGAGGTGCAGAATGTTTTTGATCACATGCCAAACGATGGTCCCGACAAGATTTCATGGTACTTCATGTTTTTCATCATATGTTTTTTTATTAGGAACGTAACCGAATCGGATTTGAAGTTATGTTTGCCCATGTTTGTTTATTTTTAAAATTATTTATCTTCGCTTTGTGTTTGTATAAATTTTTAATATCGTATTCGTTTATTTATTTTTAAGTTTTAATACAAAAAAATTATCTAAACTATATTCAAAATTAACTTTTGGTGTTTAATTTTTTTGTTAAAAATAGATACGTCATTTTTTTCTGTTACACTTTTAGGTTATTATTGTTAAAAAATGCTAAACAACGCGTGTTGCATTTGTTTTTTTTAATTATTTAAAAATAAAATATTTTAAAAAAAATTGAATTAACGGCTTTTTTAAAAGTAACTCCTAAAAGTATAACGGGAAAAACATTATATATTTATTTTTAACAAAAAAATTTTTAAGTACTAAAAGTCAATTTTGAGTATAGTTTGAATACTTATTTTAATTTTAAACATTGTTTGAATGTGCTAGTGTTTAGCGTTCGTGAATATGTTAATTTATGTTTCAAAAATTGTAAAATTATGCTACTAATCTTTTTACTCTTTAGGCTTCATAATTTGAACTCCAAAGTTCACCATTTGTTTAATTTAGTCCATAGCTTCACTAATATTTAAACTATTAAAAAAGTAAAAAGAAACGCCGGGTAAACGAGTTAATAAATGAACTTATAAACGAACATGTTCTGAACATAAACGAATTGAACACATCTCACTTCATATTCATTCATTGGATGAATATAAAATTTTTGTTCATACTCATTTATCTAATTTAATAACCGAACATAAATAAATTATATACAAACAGTTTAGGAACAATTTATCTAACACGTTTCTATTTGCACACACATTAAAAAGAGTTTTCACCGGTGCGTGTTACTGACATTGAGTTGTTTGCTTGTGACATGAATTCATGTGAATCTTCATTTTTCAACATGGAGGGTACATGTATGGGGACACTTCTGCTTGTCTTATGGTGATCAAAAGTTGATCCAAGACACCGACCTTATCGTAAACTATGACATCGAGGATGCTGATCAGGTTGGTACCATGTTTCCTCTTCTCTCACGTTTAGAATCTAAATTACGGTTATAATCATATTTTCAATTGCGTTATATTTATCATAATCATAGATATAACATATGTTATAATAATAGTTGTAATTATACAATCATATAATAATAATTTCGGATGATACTATTATTGATATATAAGATTTATTATTCTAATAACGGACCACTATCTAAATATTTCTGTCCTATAATTAGCCACATTGATCTCTTCTTCTTCTTCACTTCAGCTTCATTTCATTAGACATGTCTCCACCTGCACCAACTCGACAAAGATTCCGAAAGCTAAAGATACTGTTGCCCAAAACCATTCATGTCAGTAAGGCTCTCTTTCATTAACCCTGTTTTTAACACTAATATGAACTCATGCATTAGGGAACGTATGCTTTATTTAAGGTGAGTATGGATTCACTCTAACATTTAGATTATTTTACGTTAGTCGTCTATTTTACTGAAAATGATTATTTCTAAATTTTATTTGTGTCTATCCCATACGAAATTTTTTTGTTGTCAATATATTCATTTTCTCCTAAAAATATATTTATATATCTTTGGATTTGTTACTGAAAAGATTATAGATGAATTTAATTGGAAAAATGCAGACTGTTAGTGGATGAACATGAAGAAGACATTGAGGAGGTTCAGAAAGGAGGAGGGTTATGATGGTCGTGTTCAAAGTTTTCACCTTTTAAAGATAGGGAAACCTTCAGAAACAGAGGTTGCCCAAAGTTTTCACCTTTTAAAGATAGGGAAACCTTCAGAAACAGAGGTTGCCCATCAGATCGGTGTAGTTTCTGGTGAAAGTTTCAAACCCAATTCTTTATAATTCGGTACCATTATTTGATTCTCTATATGCTGTCATATCTTTTTTTTTTATTTTTAAATATAAAATAAATTTATATTATTAGGAAGAAAAACCACATCAACACAACCTATAATAATTAAGTACAAGAGAAAAAAAACATCAATACCAGAAGAATAACATTAATCAATTATATAATATATACATCATTGGTCAATGAATAACATATTAATCTTGTTACCGTTGAATCGTTTAAAGGATGAATACTAATTGATGAACAAAATATATAAGTAGCTATTTATTTATTTATTTATTTATTTTTATTTTCAAATAAAAGTAGAAATATAATTTACTTTTTAATTTAATAGATATATAAATTTAACAGATATATAAATTTGATCAAATAAAGATAAAATTTTAGTCTAATTAGAGGTGAAAAAAATGTCATTCGGATCGGGTTATTTTGGATTTAGATTATATTCAGTTTAATTTTATTCAGGTCAATCGAATCTGGTTCAGATTTAGTTCGGGTGTATGATAAATTAGGTTGAGTAAATTTTCGGATGGGATAGTTTTCTGGTCAAGTGATTATCTGATCGATTGTTTTTTTTATTCGGATCAATATCTGACCGGTTGACTTTTGGGTCAAGTTAGTATCGGATCGATTAGATTTAGGGTAGGGTTAATATCGACACAGTTGATTTTCGAATCGAGTCAATAGTAGATCGGTTGATTTTTAGTTTAGGTCAACCTTGGGATCAGGTCAATTTGGGTTGAATTTGTTATGAGTATAATAAAGTATCGATAAAATTATTGATATATTTTTGTATAAAACATATCTTCTTGTTTGTTAATCTTATCATTTAGGCTTAATTCGGATATAAATCTAATCAAGTATATATATAGATTTTTTTTTTCGGATTAATTTTGGTTTGGGTTACTTTTGGATCAGGTTAAATTATGTTTGGGTTACTTTTGGATTAGGTTAAATTTAGTTCGGGTTGCTTTTGGTTTGGGTTATTTTTTGTTCGAATTGTTTTTGGGTATGGTTAATTACGATTTAGTTTGCTTTCGATTCGGGTTAATTTCAATTTGGGTCAAATTGGATATGAGTTCATATTGTTTCAACTAAGTTTTGGATTAGGCACGTTTCGAATTTGAGATCAAATTTGATAATCATGTTCGGTTAATATCGAATATTAAGTCGGATAAATCGATTCGGATAATCATATTCGAATCAAATTTTTCAGGTTTAGTCTAATTCGATGGTTAAATATTTGAATAGTTATGAAATATCTTACGTTTGAATTTTTAAATCTATAAAAAAATATTTATTTTTTTGGTGATAATTTAGTACAACTTAAATACATATTTTAATGAAACCAAGATAATTAACATGTCTAGCTCAATGGTTAGAGTATTGATCTCTAAGGGAATAAGGATTTGAATTATGTTATCATAAATAAAATTTTCTTTGATCATGTTCAGGACAAAGTCAGAATTTCAACTTGAGAGGACAAAATATAACTTTTCTAAAATTAGGAGAGGCAATTTCATAATTATCACACAAATATTTAAATTTTATATATAAATTAAGGGGGAATAATTTATGGCTGGGTTGGGGGTACAACCGCTTCTAAGCCCTTAATGGCTCCGTCACTGGTTCAATCAATACGTAATTGAGTTGTTAATAATGAACGAGAAAATAACGTGTAAATTAAAAAAATAATTAAAAATACTATTTAAAAAATAATTAAATAATTAAAAAAACACGAGGATAATCAAATAGAAAGTTTACCCTAACTTATATTTTCCGTATGAATTTCCTATTTTATTGAGTCCTCTGAATCTTTGATGTATCCAACAATGAAAGCAACAAAGAGCCCTAATTGGATCAATGATGAAGTTCAATTTGAGTCATTACCCAATCCAAAGCCCACTTTGCCCTACATATGAAATGAAACCACCATAGCCTCTCCTCAATTTGTGTGGCGAAGATTAATGAGAGAACATTCTGCAAAAATTTCACACATCATCATCTCCACACAAGAAGTTGAAAAAACTCGTATTTTTTTTCTTCAATTTAAACCAAAAGTTTTTTTAAAACCCCACTTTGACATCCCCAAAGCTCAAAAGACTCGCCATTTACCTCAAAATCCAGAAGCCCTGGCCAGCACGATAATGGCTTCCTTAAATCCTATGATCACCATTGTTGCTTCATCTTCCTTGCCTTCAAAACCCAAACTTGAGAAAACCCCGCAGTTTTCCTTCCCCAAAATCTACACTCAAAGTTCTTAACACCCCAACAAATCAACAGTCTCAAATCCATCTACATCTTCACACTCGCCTCTTTGCCCATTGCCCCACCTTCACTTGCGGCAGAGATAGAAAAGGCTACACTTTTTGATTTCAACTTGACTCTCCCAATCATGATGGTTCAGTTCTTGCTCCTCATGTTTGCTCTAGACAAGGCCTACTTCATCCAGATGGGGAAATTCATGGACGAGAGAGATGCGGCCATAAAGGAGAAGCTTTCTGGCGTGAAGGACACGTCCGAGGAAGTGAATCAGCTTGAAAAACAAGCTAATGCTATCATGAGAGGTGCAAGAGCAGAGATTTCAGCAGCTTTGAACAAGATGAAGAAAGAGGCTCAGTTGGAATCAGAAACTGGCTAAGGGAAAGAAGAAAGTTGAGGCTGAATTGCAGGAGGCTTTGGCTAATTTGGAGAATCAGAAAGAAGAGACTATTACCTCACTTGATTCCAGATTGCCGCTCTCAGTCAGGACATTGTCAACAAGATGCTTCCTCTCTAAATTTCACATTTTAATAGCTTGACGACCTTTATGTATCTGAAACCCTTCATTTTTTCTTTCTTCCCTTTTATTTATGGTTATGTTCATAGGCTTGCCTGATTATATTCTGAGTTGAAGTTTATCTATAAAACTAGTTTTTTTTTTCAAACCCATCATCACCTCTATGCCATAGCTTCACCAAACAAACAAAAGCATGGTTTGAAAATGACATGCACCCATATCAAAAGGAGGGAGAAACCAGTTCAAAAACAAAGGAGGAGATCGACAGAAAAGAAACCGAAAAGAAAAGGGGGTTCGAAAATAATGAGCAAGGTTCCATGTTATTTTTTTCCTTGAAAATTTATTTGTAACAGAGGCATTCTTCCTTCCTTTCTTTCGAACAACAAAGCAATACAAACAATGAAGGTTTTTCTTCTATTCATTTTCCTTTTTCAGTAACCTTTTATTCAAACGAAAGCAGTAAAGAGGGGGAGCGTGTAGTTTTTACCTTACTTTAAGGTGGGGTCGGTCGAGACTCTCCTCACCAGCGGTGTCATGCCTAGGGGGCTTGGTGGCCAAGATCTTTGGGGCTTCGGTTGAGAGCGTCGGAGTCGAGAAAGGGGCTCTCGGTTTCGTTTGGTTTAGCCCTGAATTAGGGTATTAGTTTTCTTTGGGGTTTGGTTTTAGGAAACTAACCACCGATGGTGGTGGTCGGAATATATATGGTCGATCATAAGTGTTTTTGTAGGGGGTTGGAGGCGCTCGTTCAAATGAAAAATAGAAGAGAAGAGAGAGGCAAGAGGCTTTCATTCTTTTGAGCCTTGGTTCGGCCTTCTCGGTCGCTTTCGACAGGGTCGAGGAGTGGAGATGGTCACCTTTGTGGTGGCTAGCGCTGAAAAGGCTTTGAGCCTTTGTATGGGTGAGAGCCGCACGTTGGAGAGAAATGTTGGTCACTAATTTCATCTTTTATCTATTTGTTTCGATTTAGGCTTCATGTTATTTTTTATTTTATTTTGGTCACTTGTTATGTTTTTTATTTATTTCGAATTGTCCTGCTGATTTTTATTATTTTTATTTAGGTCACTGTTTTAGTCATATTTTACTTGTTGTTTTTTTATTTTATTTCATTTTGGTCCTTATTACTATTATATGATAGAAAACATTATGCTTTAGGACCCTTTAGCTTTTCTATGTATTTATTTTAGTCACTAATTTTACTTTTAAATGTGAGCTTTCATGAGTATATTATATATTTCATACTTAATGTTTTGTTTCTCTTCTGATTTAACCATCACATAGTTTGGTCTGTTACTTTTTGTTTTTACCGGTATGTTTATGTATGTGTATTATTATTATTCTCATTACTTGGTCTTTGTTGTTTATTACCATAAATCATTTTTTTCTTAAAATTGTATATGTTAAATCATGTTATTCATACATATGTGTGTGTATATATTTACTTAATATTCCTCCCTTGTACATTTATATAAATATTACTAACTTTTATTCTATTTCGTTTGATCTTATTTATAAAGTTCCTAATTGTCAATATTTTATATTTCTTGTACTCAATGTTAATTTTCTCTTTAAATAGTTTATTTGAATGTTTTCAAGAACACTCTATCGTAGAATGGTTCTGAAAAGAACTGTTTGATCGAAGTAGCACAATTCGATACGACATTCGAACGAAAGTGAACTTAAAATTACTCAATTGTCTCGTTTAAAA